AGCCCAAATCGGCGATGAAGTTGCCCTTCCGGAAGGTCACGACACGGCCGCCCACGCGATCCCTGGCCTCCAACACCATCACATCCATTCCGAATTGCATCAACTGTTGGGCGGCTATGAGGCCGGCTATACCGGCGCCGATCACAATCACCTTCCCGTGCCGTTTGTGTGGCAACGCTTTCAACCGCTTAAAGACACCGAAATTGATGAATCCCTGGCGCTCGAGGAAGGCGTGCACTCGCATCACAAGCGGGCCGTCAGAGTTGAACGGCACTTCAATCTGCGGTAGTGTCGACTCGAGCGACAGCTGCAGCTTCGGGTTCTCCATCCATAGCTGAAGTATACGGTTCCGGATGTGGAGGAATATCTTGGCCGATGCGGTACCGCCGGCGGCCACGTCTGGAAACGCCTGCGCCTCTTGTGATGTCATCTTATCGGCGGGAAGACGCGACTGAAAGGCCGCCCCTTCCAGACCCGTGGGATCCTCTTCGCCATCGCTGCCAACACCGGCGTCCGGATCAGCCGCTGAGGCACTGCCACCGCCGCCACCAGCGGTGGACTCTTGAGACCCGGAATGACCGCCACCACCGCCGCCGCCAGTGTTGTTGTTTTGGTGATGCAAACGACTGGAGATCTTCATCTGATTCTCATCGTCCGATGGCATGTCTTCATCGGCTGACATCACTAACTGTCTTCAGATAACTCGCTGTCTGCGAATCAGTTACTCTGGCGGTCAGTGTTTGCGGTAAAATAGCCGACTGTTTTAGTTAAGCGGTTCCGGTGTTTGTTGGTCAGGGAACTGGTGTCACACGTGTGTCCTCGAGATTGAGTGTCCTCTACTGTGCCTGAGGTGTGGATGTGTTGATCGCCAAACAACTCGTGGCCAACAATCGGATCCCAAAAACAAGAGACAATTCAAAGACAATTAACGGACAGAAGAGAGCAAAACACAAAACCACTCATTCATTGAATGGCTTTTAAATTATATAATTAAAGTCGTGTATAAAGTATAGCGAGTTTTAGGCCTATTTCATAGCCATTCAAAGCGTATAATCTCTGCGCTATAAATATACTATAAAAAGGTATCAAAACATCGGCCGTTAAATACCAGTTATAGTGAATACACGCGTTGTGTGCGAAACAAAGACATTGAGTAAAAGCGGACGTTATTTATGAATGAGTAGTGAATTATTTGTGAAGCGTTTGTTGTGATTGTCTGTCAAAGAGTCGTGCGTTTGGTTTGTGGCCAACAATTAGCCGACGAGAGGAGTGACAACTGGTCCGCACAGACAACACGACAAAGACATGAGTCAACAGCTGAACCAACAGCCGCTGGAGAGTCCAAACCTGGACGCCGTCCACTCGGCCCTCAAGTCTGTCAAACTCTTGAGGTGTACTGTCGGCGATGTCTTCAAGTGTTTGGCCGACTGTCCGCTGATTGTCAACAATGACAAGTCGGGCGACGATTACGGAACCGTTGGCGGCAACAGTACCACCAACTCTACGACCGGCGGCGGCAACAACACGACCGGCGCCACAAACACCGCCCCACCGGTCGCTCAGCCATCGGCGGCCACTATCGCACAGTTGACTGAATTGCAGACACTGTTGTCGGCGGTCAACAATCGGTTCCGCGAGTTGGAGACGGCGTGTACTTTACTGACACCACTAAACGCGGGCCCAATGAACCTATCGCTGGGCAACTCATCCCATTTGGGTCAAGACCCGCACTACGACAAGACCAATCTGTACGCCGATATGATCAGCGCCTACCGCTGGTCAGACAAAATGGTGGAGTACTCAACACTGGCGGCCACTTATCTGCAGCAGAACCCACTGCGACGGTCGCACATCACTCCCATCTACGTCAAGGGACGACCGCAGCGGCGGCCGCCCAACGGCCACAATATCGGCGCCCAACAGATCGACATATTCATCGGCACTTTGCAGCGACTGCTGCCCGACCTGACCATCGAAGTCACGCGACCCTTCGGAGCGCCCACTGTCCTGAAGGTGACGATACCGCGAGTGCTGAGGGCTGTCATACTGTTGAGAGGGTTACTCATTGAATGGGTTGTCGTGAAGGGCTTCGACGAGACCTTCGATGACCCGAACTTCGACAACAGTCACGTGAAACGGTTGCGACGCTTCCCCGAGACGGCCGCAGTGACCGCCAATATGGAGACCGAACGGCTGGACATCTGGTCGGAGTCCAAACACGAGGTGTTCCGGAAGGTGTCAGAGCACGCGAACGCAGCGATGCTTCACTACTACTCTCCAATCCATTGCGATGTTGCTATCAGAACCTATTTGGTAATGAAGATTATTATCAATTGATTATCACTTTGTTTCTCACTTTTAATTGATTCCATTATCTTCTCTTCGGTATAGAATTGGCTGAAGAGCTACGCGAACCTATTCTCGGCGCCGTGTCGTAAATGCAACGCTCGGCTCCAGAACTTTATGCCCCCGACGTGGAGGGATATCCGCACGTTTGAGCCCTACCACGAACAGTGCCGACCCTAACGGCCAGCCCTTCCTGTCCTCCATATACTCTACTTTCATATCCTGTGCTATATTTTGTACTGAATTTATTTGAAAACATTTTGATATATAAAATACCCAAACATTTATGACTCTCGCGATTATGTATTGTATTTCAATTGTTATCACGTTTTTGTGTATATAATATCAGTTCGAAACTGTATTTTGAATTCATTTCTGTTATAAAACACTTTTTCGCTTCTCTTCTCATTGTCTCATCACTTCTCTGATCCCTTCTTCTGAGTTCTTGTGTCCACTAATTATCTGATTGTCTGCGAAATGAATTCAAAACAATCTGATGATAGAGTGAGTTGTGAGTCGATGGCCGCCGCGGATCAACTGATTGGTGTAGAGCTCGCGGACACAGATGTCGTTGAAGTACACAACTGTGTCCACAAGTTTGCGGTCGAAAAGTTGGCCACAAATCCCGTTCCGTTTCGGGTGTGGAGTAAAGCGTTTGACAGCGGATTCAATACCAAATGGAAATTGTCTGTCGTTTACAGACAATCTTCAGATGGAATCCAAACGATTGGTCTCTTTGTTCACAACTTGAATAGCAATCAGCGCTTCTATTCTTCTCCGGCGGCGAAGAGTCAATCGCTGGTAGAGATCATCAAATGTTTCGTCTCTATTGTCAATGTCTACGACAAGGAAGTGCTGGTCAGTGGCCGAGAGATACTGCCTAACGACCGGTTGATACAACTGTTTCAGCACAACATGAGTGCCGTATTTGATCCGAAACACGACTTCTCTCCCGATGGACAACGACTGAGTCTTGTGCTGAAGTTTGAGATCAAAGGCCGTCGAAAGGCATTGGTTTCAGCGGTGGTGGAGTTGAAGTACCCGAAGCTGAAGGCGCTTAAGACACGACTGGACTACGAGTCGATGAATATCAGTCAACTGAGCGTCAAAGACAGCTCCGGAAGCGGTGAACCAATTGATGACAACAACGCCGCGAATGTCGTGACATTTCACGTGAACGACAAGAAGTTTTTGGTCGACAAATCACTTTTGACCGCAAAGTCGGCAGTGTTTGCCCAACTGTTCAATGATTACCGCGGACTGGAATCGCTGCGAGTGATGAACATTACTTGCGAGACATTCGAAGACTTTCAGCGCTTCATCGACACCGGATCTGTTGACAGAGTGGCGTCCAATCGGTTCTTTGATCTGTTGGTTGTGGCCAACCGGTACGGCATCGCCGACTTAGAGGTCCTGTGTCTTGAGGCCATCACTGGCGACATGACTGTCCATAATGTGATCCATTATCTAAAACAATCGAAAGCCAATCGTCTGGATGTGCTGATGAAGAAGGCGTGGATTTTTATCGATAAAAACTACAAACAATTGCGAGAAACCGATGAATGGAAACAAAACTTTAAGTTTGTGCTGAAAATTGGCCAAAATTTTGTCGCAAAGAATTGATTTATATTTAAAATCCTATATATTATTTAATTTTATTTATTGTTTTATTTATTTGTAATTAATTTCTTTCAATTGAATGCAATTTAAATGTAAATTTCATATCCAATTCAGAGGCAAATAAAATACTATTTATTTATTCATTAAAACCATAGAGTTGGTAAAGAGTACATATGGAGTACGGAGTGTGTTGTGCTTGATGTTTTTATATAGCTATTATACCTGCACTTCACATATCATGTTACAGTCATATAAGGTGTGCGTCAATTATATTGTATAGTAAAGGGCATACGATATGATCAAATAATGTAACGTTTATAGTGATTAATGTATGAAAATTACCAAGTTCAAACAAAAAATCACGTCTATGGATTAATAAGGTTTACTACTTGTAGATTAAAACATTTCATTCATTGTTTTTTTTTTGAGATATAAGTGTTTGACACGAATTAAAATACCGGTTAAGACGTCAATTAAATAAGAAAATGAATCAATTAATTAAAAATTCATTAAAATAGACACAAGAGATGTGTCGAGAAATGTCTTATTCTTCGGCGACTTATTTGCTGATGGATTGTATGAATGAGTAGATCGCGAACGAGAATAAGACACCGCACACCACCGATAGGCTGCACCAAACCCAAGCCATTGTATCGCAGTCTTTGGCCATTAAAGACATCACCCATTAGTGAGTGAGAGAAAGAGAGAGTCATCGGGAGTTAATTAATATGAATGTTAAGATCAATAGGTATTCCTCACGAGTATTGCCAAAAGCGCAGACACAGAGGAAATACACGTTAAAGGCGGTGATACCGATGGCGCCGCCCAATGATATGTAGCAAAGAGTTGGCCACTCGACGAATGCGCCCCAAAAGGCGAGCGCAGACAACACGAGACCCGCGATAATCATTAGAAGTCGGGCCAAAATGTTCAGGTCGTTGAAGACGTCCTTAATCTCGCCGGTGGTGATGAATGTCACCAATTGAATGCCGAAGACTACCATCAATACGGCGGTGACCACCACCAGAACCACTTTGATCACCAGATTGTTGGTTACCTCAGCCATCGCCGGTTAGTTGTTGTCTTCCGATTGGGATCTGAAGTGAAATATAAAGTTATTGTAAGCAATGGTTTGTTTTGGTTGTGATGTCTCTCACAAAGAAGTGGAAGAAGTGATTGTCTCAAAGAAATGACAGATTTTTGTTACACTTTTTGTGGGAAAATTTGTTTAACTTTTTTTTACACTTTTTGTAACAGTTTTTTGATAAAGTTTTTCAATTGTTTGAAGCGATCAATACTTTAGTCGCTATATCGCCAGTCCTTTGCCTATAGTTTACTATTAAATTAAGTTGTTTTTCATTTAATTATTAATATTTTGAATGCATTTTCATTGATTTAATTGTGTTTTATTTGTTTAAAACATTAATTAAATGAAAAGTTTGATTAAATGAGTGCTATTTGTGTGAAGATTACTATTTGCCGTTAGATGTCGTGCACTGTATATAGCGTTACAATACGTGTAGAAAAAGCGGTGAAAAGTTTTGAAAGTTTTTACAGTTTGTGTCAAACCATTGATTTGCATAAAAAAATCATATCTATTACTGCATAACACGTGTAAAGCCTTTACCCGAAAAATACTGTTTTTTAGTGCCATTTGTTTGCCATTTATTGTTAACGTATTTTCAGTTTTATAATCACTTTTAATAACGTTTTATTCGTATATAAAACTTAAAGTAATTGAAAAAACAATTAAAACTTTTGTTTCATTGAATCAAATAATTTGTGCACAAAATGAGACAATAATTAAGACAACAAATGGTTTGGTATTTGAAGACAATATACAAAGCGATGTCTGAAACAGACTTACGATTCAATGAATGGCTATAAATGTAAATCATTTGTTGTCTTAATTATTGTCACATTTTGTGAACAACTATTTCATTGAATGAAACAAAACTTTTGATTGTCTTTTCAATGACTTTATGTTTTGTTGTTTCGTTTCAGTTGTCGACCAAATACTGGATCTATTAGTTAGTGATAACTGAAGAGCACGTGATATAAACACCACAATTGTTTGGATACTTGAGAGACGATATGAGCGGTAAAAACGGGCCGAAAATGTCGGCCCAACACAAGTCATTGTCAATAATAGCGTTGACTTCGGGTCTAATCGTAAACCTCATCAAAATGTTTGTCAAATACATTGTCAACACATTTAGAAGATCTCAGACATTGAATACAAGTCAAAAACCGCTGGCCATTGGATCAGACGATATGACCGGCAAACTCGTGGCCGACGAGGAGAAGACCGAAAAGGAGACTTCGAAGGCAGAAACCTCTACCTCTTCAGCGGCTATTCACTTGAAGACCGATTGCCAAAAGAATGTCAACAATAATAACAACAATAATACGAGAAATAACTCGAAAATGTTGGACACAAACGCCGCCAAAGGGGCGAAGAATGAGCAGAAAAATGAACCGAAAAACGATAAGAAAGAATGGGCCAAAAATGCGACCAAAAATTCAACCGAACAACAAAACGGCGCCAAATCGGGTGACAATCACTCGTCCAATAAATGGTACCCGAAATCATTGGACAGAGAGAACGATCACCACTCGGACAGCACCGCCAGTGGTTCGAGCGCTGAAGAGGACGATCTGTTTCAATGCGGATTCGCATCAGAGGAGGAAGAGACCGACGACACTGACTATCAGCACATGTGCACAAGTAGTCATTCGAAGAATGACCTCAAAGTACACCCGAAGCGCAGCACTGGTGCGGACACCGAAGAGGACGAGCTGTCGTTCAACAGCGCATTCGTGGCACAAATTGCTCAAAGAAAGTCGAAACCCGCGTATCTACAAAAAACCGGAACCAATACCGCGACGACTACTACGACAACAGCTCAACAACACATACCATCGCAAAGTGAAACTCCATTTAACGGCCATTTTAACGATAATCAGAACAAAAATCACAGTTTTGTCGATAATAACAGTTTGGATCAAATGAGGAATAATATCAATCATGCGATGAATGGTATCGAAGTAACGCGATTACAGCCGACTATGACTGCCCTTAACGCCTGTTTCACTTCGACACCGCCGCCGCCCAAGAGTCGAGTCATGTGCGCCGCCGATAGTAGTATCACTCGGCAGTTGTTTTCTGGCGTTTCATTATCTCAAGTCTCGCCGGCGATGGTATCGATGGTCTCGTCGCAGATCAATGGCCTCCGGGCGCCCGTAATTCGCCGTAAACTCGACCGCAGGGCTCGACGCAGACGACTCCAAGAGTTTCATAACTTTAAGACTAAAAGCATTCCTCTGTTGTTCGGCGAAGAGGTGGAGGAAGAAGACGACATCGAGATTGTATACGAGAAACAGGTCTCACATTCTTATTCTTATAGGAGTTTATTATTTGTTTAGTATTTTTGACTACAATTTATGTCCATTTCATAGCATTATAAGAACGACTCGAATGAAGAGAATCACGCCATTGATTCACCGCAAGAGTCAGAACCAGTGTTGATGTTTTCCATCGAGGATGAGGTGTCACACATTAGCGCTGATTCGTTTAGTTCCCAAAGAGCCAGCGATTTGTGTTACGATAATAACGCTAAGAGAAAGTCACCAAACAGTGTGAACAACACGTCTCACAACACGTCGGCCGTGAATAGCG